GTAAAAAGTTTTACAGCTGCACGATGTTTGATTTACATATCCCATTACTTTTGTAGGATATCTTATATTCTTTTTCCGATAATCACAATAGTTCGTGAAATATTTATGGAGAAACGGGACTTGTTTACATTATCCATCGTAACGATTTAACCCTTTGCGTTCAAAAAGTGACGTATCTTAACGTGATGCAGAAACTTGAGATAACTCTCGGTTGCCACTAAGTTCGACAAGGAAATCAATCAACAATGTTTGTTTAGGTTAACCCTTTCAGACCTGAATTAATTTTTCTTCTGGTACTAATGTAATTTACTGCTTGGGGTTAACTTGGACTAATATTAGTATGGAAAAAATAAAAACAAAACCTAATAGCGTAGTTTTCGAGGAAAACTGATCTTTCTTCGTGTCGGTAATTTTTTAATTTTGTGTCTTCAATTGTGGACGCCAGATCTGAAAGGAATAATTTCTTTGGAACTCGAAGTGTCAATAAAATGATTTGATATTCAAAAGCTTAGCATTCGTGACGTTAGAATGTTAAGAAAGCATCTCGTGTTACTGATAGATATCAGAAAAAAAAGGTCTCGTGTGAAAAGGGTTAATAAAAGTGCACGCGAAAGCTTTCTATGGATTCTTTCCTCGGTCGAATCTAAAATGGTCAGGCTATTTGGAAACGGTAACGTCCGACTGGCAATAATATCGGGCAACGCGGAACATTCGTCTCGCGCCTGCACGGATTTCTCGAAAATATAAGCTTCGCGCGGCTCGCACGGAAACGCGTGTGTACCAACCTCGTTGATCAACAAAATGGCGCAACGGCGACAACTGGATTCAAGCCAAAATTCGGGCTGTAAATAATGAACGCCCATTGTTTCTGCGTTTATAAAGCTATGCGAATGCGTCACGCGCGGTGTTAGAGTTAAATAAAAAAAAAAGAATAAAAAAATATCGTCGTTTCGAAATGGCGCTTATACGTGCGATAGATCGTGCTTTCAACGTTCGTTCGACATTATAAGGTTTGAAAACGCAAACATTTTTTAGCTTCTCGTTTATTTATATTAAATTTGGCATTCGTGAAATTTCCTTGCGAACTCAATCTTTTGTCGATATTTTGTTGACTTTTAAAATTGCTCGAGTTCACTGAATAACAAAAAAAAGTATAATTAATATTTACTGGTCAGGTAAGAATTTTATATTAGAAATTCTATTTCCGCTCCGAAATTTCTATATTTGAATAGCCACTAAAAATATAACTTGATTTTCCACCGTTGAGTAATAATGGCTTCCGACGGCACTTCCGATCGTTCTTTCGATCATGAATAATGAGCTATTCGCGACCTATACATTTAAGCTAATAAAACTTCGGAAGGGATGTTTTTGTTTTCACAGCTGACACTCGAGCTGAAGAAACATAAGCAATGGCGGGGGTGGTTCCCCTTCGACTATCTCTAAGAGACGTATTTATATTTGTAATTGTAGTGTACTTGATTCTAGATTTTGATTTAAATACTTTTCTAGTATTATAATACCAGTATCAGTGGAGTTATTGCTTTCTATACAGAGAAAAACTTCCTGTGGACGTCCATTTACGAAATATACTAATCGATTATAGTCCAAGAGCCAGAGCCAAAAAAAGTCTCTGAATTTACTAAGCCTAGTTTTTTTTATACTTTATTACAGTGGTTGTGTACACAAACATACTGCGGTCAGTCAAGCGAAACTGAGAACAGGTGTCTCAGGTACGCTGTCGAAGCTGTCGTATCTGGGGTACGAGGTAATTAAATGAATTGACTAAGGCTGAAAATTGTTATACAAATAGTGTATTGCATATAAATGAAAGTTATGACAGTCAGTCAGGCAAATGTGGGGACGGAGCTGGTCAGTCGGCCACAATATGGTCGCAGTATTTTTGTGTACACAACCACTGTAATAAACTATAAAAAAAAACTAGGCTTAGTAAATTCAGAGAGTTTTTTTGGCTCTGACTCTCCGTCTATTACAAAAGCGATTGCTGTTCACAAAGCTGAAGTAAATAAAGATAAAAAACGATCTTGCGAAGATATCGAGACGTCGACTGGTCCCTCGGTCGCGCGAATAAACAACGCGTTCGTTGTCAGGTTACCTGGAAGGCGTGGATCGTTAATCGTCAAATTTTCACGAGTGGCGCGTTCCTCGGCACTCGTACGAGTGGACCGCCACCGGTGGAGGTATATAAGGGCATTGTTCGCTTCCTGTTTTGAATATCGAATTTACGAGGAAAGTTATGGGCCGCGCCCGCGAAATCTTTCCCTCTCAACCGCATGCCCGTCTCTCTTCCCCTTGGCGCTACTCTTCCCCGTCGAGATTCTAACTTGGCCCGTAAAACTTCGCCCGGAACTCGTCTCCGAATGGCGGACTTTCCTCTTAAGGGTCTCCCCGGCAAGCGAGGAATACGGTCGGCGGTGTCGTAAGAACGACCGTAAGATCTGCGATTCGTTTTGCATTCCGCGGTATCACGAAGACGCGAGAAAACCGATCGTTGGAATGATTTGGAACGGCAACTCGATGGAAAAGAATAAGAGACGGACCGCTTCGAAACTCGCAAAACTTGCGTCGCGACTGTCAGCCGTGTCTTGAGGGGGGAGGGCATTTCGATACACGAGATTCTCTTTCCGAAGGAGCATTAGGTTCTCCCCGAAAATTCCCGTAGTAATTTGATCACTGGGATTTCTTGCGCATCGGTTACTTAATGTACGAGCTCTCTGGACGTCTCAGCGCGGAGCGAGCACGTAAACTAGTGGCGCCGTATCCGATGCAAGGGAACGGCTCATACGCCGTGACTGTACAGACTGTCACCGAGCGTTTCAGCTGATTCAAAGACTAAAGTTTCTGTTTGAAAGATTCACAGTGCTATCCATGGATGTCATCGAGACTTCCGAGTCGATGGACGCTTCTGAAGCACTCTTCGTGAGGTCACGTGGCTCTTCAAATATCAGAGCTCGATGACGTAAATTCACGAGAAGTACGGATTCCCCATCAGCTGATGGAGGTGTGTATCCACTCGCGATTCGTCCCTCTCTCCAACACAACGAAATAAGGTTGGGGTCGAAAGCGCGGGCCTCTGCGTTCCCCGAATGGAGACATCCAAGTGCAAAAGGATTAAATTACAGTTTCGATTTAGAATGGACCACGAGCATCGCGTTCCTCCGAATTCTTCGAGTATCTCGACGCTGGTGTCTGCGGTGCCGCGAAAGAGGAAGTCAGGGAAGACGAAAGAGACGCGGAAAACAACCAAAGACCTTCGAGCGACGGAGACGACGGTTCCCTTCTCGAGAGAGCTGGCGAAGTGGTGCCGACAAACGGGAAAGACTCGTCTCTGCGGTGGGTCAAAAGTCGAAGGTGGAGGCACTCGCGTCGTCCTTGCGAACGATGTCCCTTCGCCGGAGGAAGAGACTTCGAGGGTCCACGTTCGGAGTGTGGCTTGCCGTTGTCACGAAACCTACCGATTCCACCTGATGTCGTTCACCGACCTACCCTTCGCTTTCAGATCACGTGCACGCCGTTGCGCTAAGCTTTCCTCCTCTATCCCCCTATTTCCGAAGCATCCGATGCTGAAATCACTCTCTCCGGGCTCTCTTCCCTCCACTTTTTTCCATTTCCCCTTGGTGCGCGTTTTTCGTCCACTTCTTTTTCGGTACTCGCGAACAGGGCCGTGACCGACCATCTTAGGCGCTCCCTTCGTTCCCTGGTAGAGATGGAGCACGTTTAGACGTCTCTTGCTTTGGACTGTATTCTTTCCTTCTTTTTAGAGTTTTAGGCAATCGGGACCTTCGTCTTTGGTCTTTCTCGAACAGATTTTATAGGATCCGAACGAGTAATCTATCAAATGTTTCTAAAAGCTATTGGTATATTTAAGTTCACGATAAAGTATCTGAATTCAATCATTAACACCTTGACCCGCATGTCACCCATGTATGGGTTGACAAGGGTTTTCATCGAAGAATAAATAAATTAATACCGAAAGTAAGGAGTTGACAAAAACTCGTTTGGATAGGAGTGGTAAATTCTAAAGATGTCGCAAAAGTAGGTTCTACCACAGATGTTAGATCGTGTCATTTCTAATTCTATAGAAACCAAATTTTTGCCTCACAGGAATTTTCACGATAATTAGTCCACCAGTCTACGTGTTAAACATAAAATATTGTTTTAATGCATTGCTATAGCATACACACCCTCGTTCATAAATATGTGGGCACTTACTACCTCCAATGAATAATTAATACACACCGTAAATTATTACTATAAACTTTTGTTGCTAAATTCTATATTGGATGTGTATTTAACACATTTAATAATATTTAATGTTTTTGAGTGCCATATTTAATTTGATAGAACTATGGGATCATTTAGATAGAAAAGTTCAGAAAGAATGTTCAATATATCAAACACATTTATGGCGATATATTATAAAATAAATGGAATGATATTACTATTTAATTATATACAACGTAAATTATTACTATACAACTTTTGTTGGTAAATTCTATATTGTATGTATATTTAACAACATTTAACAATATTAAATGTTTTCAATGGCATATTCAATTTTATAGTAGAACTATTGGATCGTCTAGATAGAAAAGTTCAGAAAAAATGTATCAAACACATTGATGTCGAAATATTATAAAATAAAGGAGGTAATGTTATTTCATATACATACAATGAAGAAATTAATAGTATCCAAGTTTGGTAAAAGAGATTTGAACATTATCTAGTTATCTCTATAGCTTTTTATCGTTACTAATGTGATATTAAAAAAAATACTATTAATAAAATATATTCGCTAATGCAACATATCGAAACATAGATGATATAATCGATATTAATAGATTCGCAACTTTTATTAGATACGTATTTCTATTAAGGAAGTGACCAGATACTTTTGAGCGGGGATGTATATCGACATCGATAACTAAGAATTTATTTACATGCTCCAAGTACACTACAAATAGCATGTCCACTTGCAGGTTAAACCCGAAGAACTCGAACCGCGTGAAGAAGTAGGAGGAGAAAAATGGAAGAGGATGCGGGGACGATGGGAAGCAAAGCGGAGCGCAAAAACGAAGGCGAACAGCGCGAGAAGCGAGTACATACATAGAGGGTGAGAATCTTCGATTTTACTCTTTGGCGGGCGTTAATTACGCGCAAACGTACACCGACCAGACACGTTTATCGAACCACCTGCCGAACGCTACACGTTTTTTCCCAACGGCTCCGAGGATTTACCATGGCAATTCACGCGAGGGGCAACTTTTGGTCATCCTGAGAGATCGCGCATTGACGTTTTCGCGATAACCTAGATATCGTCGCCATTCGCCCGACAGCCATACGCGTACGATCGATCACATGCGTCCTAAACGTGATTTTATTTCGTTAGCGCGGTTCCTTGATTTCGCACATTTTTCGTGTAGCGTCTGCTGACTTTTTATCGTATTCAATTTTGATTTCGTTAATCATTTTGAGAAACGTAAAATCCGCCAAGGAGATTTCTTCAAACATTTCGATACATCGAACGAGATATCTCGCTACTAAAATTTAATTTTTACGATTTTATAGACGAGACACCTCGCTACCGAAATGTACCTTTTGTGATGCTATGAACGAGGTATCTCGCGTAACAATTTCTGTTATCTCGTCCACAGAATCATACAAATTACATTTTGGTAGCGAGATATCTTACCCAGTGTTTCGAAAGGGTTAACACGTTGAACAGCCACGTCAGCCATATATGGGTCTTCAACGATTTTGAGGGCTAGGTATTAACCGTTTGCACTCGAGAGGTGACTCTCAGTCACCACTAGGTTTCCTTCAGGTTTAATTTTATTGGAACTCGAAGTGTCAATAAAATGATTGTCGTTGAGACAAATGATTTTCAAATCTCAAATTAGAGATCTCATTTTCGAAGTCAATGAAAGCTTAGCATTCGTGACAATAGAATGCTAAGAAAACATTTCGAGTTGCTGATAGATACCAGAAAAAAAGGCCTCGAGTGCAAAGGGTTAATAAAAATAACTCTGAATAGAATTCATAAATTTTGACAAAAACACAAAAATAAATAATACGACAAATGTTGCATTCTATAGTTGCAATAGAGAATAGAACAATTGTCTCGAGACAAAATTTCAACCCCATAGATTCACTTCTATGTGAATCAGTGTGGCAGTCAACGTGTCAATAGACATTCAAGTACAGACGTAAATATAGAGAAATCATTACAGACTGGGAAGAGAATACTCTGACTATAAATAATCGTTTGCATCAACAAATGCTCGAAGATTAGACAAGCCCGCGCGTAGCAATTTTTTTTTATTACGCGTCTCGCTCTTCCTCCTCGATTTCATCGCTCACCCGCCGCATCGTGCGCATTAAACTTATTTTTTAATTTTTGTCGAAATGATGGTCTGAACGCGCCTCTATCTTTCTTCCCGCCGACAATGGTTCGGCCGCGCGAGAACCTGTCTCGCGAATAACAGAGCCGCGGAGAGAAAGAACTACGAGGAACGTCAGCCGGCGAGAAACCGAGTTTTCTAGACACACACAATTTGTCAAACCGGCGCGCCCACGCGCGAGGGGCGGGCGAATGGTGCGGGAGGAGGGGAGGGGGGCACGATGAACCGTGTATTTTCCCAGCAGATTTTCCACGAATGAAATTCGGGCCATCGCGCTCGTCTCCTTTCTTCGTCTCTGGTTGTCGGCCAACGTCTTGTACAGCCACGGCCCCGTCGTTTTGTTTCAACGTTTCGTATCTGCTCGTCGCTCGCGCTCCGGCATGGCACCGCGTTGTTTGGACGGTTCGTTTGCGGAGGGAAGCAGGCGTGCATTCGAAAATCACGATCGAGGACGTACGTTTCCCTCGTTCGTTGTCGTCTGTTCGCACGCGCCCGTATATCCTCGTCGGTGGTCTCGTACGTGAGTCGGAATACGCTGGCAGACGTTCGCGAACGGCCTCCGTTGTGTACACGCGTTTCCACGTTCCCGACCCCGTCCAACCCCCTCGTCACCTATTTACCTACCCCACCCACCTTCATCGCCGCTTCGTTTACCCTTTTCCGTAAATCGTGACTCGTGACTCGTGACTGGCCGATCACCGCTCGTCTCTCGATCGATTTTTCCTGCCGCCGCTAACCCCGCGTCGCCCCTGGTCGTTCCTTCTGGTCCCTTATCGACTTCGGCACGCTCGACTACGGACGAACGTCGATGGGATTAAATTCGAGAGCCCCGACCTCTTTCGATTCGGCGACGTATTCCGACGAATCGCGGACCAATCCTGACGAATGGTACCGACCACGCTACACGACTCGTACCGGGCCAAATGGATTTCTAATCGAGGTATCGGTATCGCGGCCTACCGACCTTCGGCTTAGTCTTTCCTCTTCTCTCCGTCGGCGAGCGTCGATTCCAGTCGTCCAAAAATCCGAGGGTATTTAACTTTGTTTATCGCGAGTGTTTGGAAATGTCGATTCGTTACTCAAATACCAGATTTCGGTCTACCGAGGATTGAATGACAGGAGGATAAAAAGGGCATGGAAGCGCAGAAGTCGAGAAATAGAGATGGCGTGACAGGTCATTAATATATATATTTTTCTTTTCTCGACAATATTTCGTTTTCAGTCCTTTATCCTTGGAGTATCTCCATCCATTTCCGTAATACGTAGTATTCCACATGTAAACTGATTCGTGAACGGTCTCTCCTTTTATATCCATTAAAAATCATGTTAGTCTCGGTCCTTAAAAGCTAATTCAAAAAAATGGAAAATCATATTTGTGCGAGACTTTTGTTCTCTAGAATCACCTACTTTGCTCTTAAACAGCACTTGTCACCGCTCATTCCATTTTCCAGTAACTTATGACCGTACGTGTACAGAACGAACGTGTATTCTTATATAAAAAGTGTTGTTCTACGAAAGCTCGCAAAGCAGGGTCGTCAATGATCAACGAACCCGCGCTTCTTCGCGTCGACGATTCGCGACAACGCGATCGCGCAATTACGCGTACGGGTTTACGTTGGCGATTTACGGCCGCCTCGTAGACTCGGATATATCTGTCGTTGGCTATCGCGGTATCGCGGCATTTAAAATGCTCGATGCGATCTGCGTTAGACCGCGGAGTTTCGTGCCGCGGGGTAGTCGAAAACACGCGATTTCGCTCGGCGCGAGTCTGCCCTTCTAATCGCAGAACTCGAGCGAACGTGTTTCCCGGTATTGCCGCGCGAGCCACCTCGTTTTTAACGCGAGATTTACTGGAACGCTATGCCGATCGATCGCATCGGATACCACCACCGTCACCCCCATTGGGATTCCTCGTTTCGGGGAAGAAGGCGCGGCTGGCTTCCAGCCGACGATCCTTTTCCTTATCGGTCGCTCGAAGCGCAATGCTCGATTTCTCGAAATTACTGCGCAAAACCCCTTAACACGTTCCGTGTCTTACAGAGCAAAGCAACAAATTTATATGAAATTATTTTAGGAAACGCAAGATCTAGCATTTATTCTACGAGTAGTGGCCTAAACGGAAAGCGTTAAACATTTCTTTTAACTACTGCCATTATAATTATCGCAACTCGTGACGCGTGTATCTCGAAGGATTTCTAATTCTATTATGATAAATCTACAATGTTAGCGACGATCAGTCTCCATCAGTCTTCAACTCTCATTTTTCAGAATGCGATATTAAGTTGACTTCAAGGAGTCTCTCGCACACGCCGATTCCTGTATCCACTGAAAGATATCTAGTTTGGAATTACTCTGAAACGAACGAAATCCTCGAAAACCTTTCGTAGCACGCATCAAAAGAGTAGGAGAAAGAAATCAAAATATTACTGCGAAGACTATGAAGCTGGGGCTGTGTATAGACGACTGCTTTTAGATCCATCACACGAAACTTGATTTCTAAGGTAAGTCATTTGCCTCTGTCCGCACAGCAAAGTTTCCGTTCCGCGGACCCAGTCGTCAAGAGGTTGAACCTTTCACCCACTCACAGACACACACACACACACCCGTCGCACAGTCGTGCCGTGTGCCACCAAGCTTCCCGAACTCCGCATGCATTCTTACAATTCACCCTCTTCTTGCAACCGACATTTTAATTAAATCGCGCCGGAGAACATTGCAAGACCTGAGACCACATTTTGAAATATCCGAAGAAATAGTTTCGGTGAACGAAATTGGTTCAAAACGATCGCTTTGTATCGATTGGTTGAACTTGAAAAATTTCGAAGCGGGAAAGCTGAACTGAAGGTGGCTCGAGCAGAACAGAGAATGGTTTCGTTAATTTATTTGGGACGGAAATGAATCAAGCCACGAACGGTTCTATACATTCCGATATTCCGAATCAATGAAACTAAGAATTATTAAGGCTCCTACTCTGCTCGAGGGTCTTTGTAACATCGACATACTAACAGATTTTACGCGTTTACGGTCCGCGCCAATACGGAAAATATGCGCAAAACGCGTGCAAATATATATTAAATATATATTTCATAAATTAATGTACGAGTATTAATATTCCATTTTGCATAAATTTATATCTTCTGCGAACGTTTTTCGTAATTGGTATACGCTATAAATAATTGTAATCTGTAATACACGTATCAAGTTCGTTCATCAGTTTTCCGATTAATAAAAATTAGTCATAGGCTAGAGTTCTATGGTCAACGTTCGGTAAACAAATTTAGGATTTACCGCGGCCAATCGAAGGAAGCGACTCAACCGCGTATAATTAACATCGAATATTCGGTTTTCACGGTCGTTAAACCTTCCCACGGACGAGTGGGAAAAAAAAAAATATGTAGGCCGTCATCGGGCCAGTGGCCGACGTAGAAACGACGAAAATCGAACGGCGAAGCGGAGACGGAACGAACGATTGGTCGAGCGCCGAATCAATTGGCTGCGGAGCTTTTTGATTCGATCAATTTACCGGACACGCCGGCTGTTTCGGTCTCCCTTTTCTCACTTTTTCCACGGTTCCTATACTCGCGGCGCCGCTCGACGCAAAACGGCGATTCATCAATTTCAACGTATCACGGACAGCGTTCTACGCAATCTGCTCGCTGTCGATTAAAAAAGTACTGTAGGTGCGAGTTATCTGCGCACGACCGTATGACTGAACGTGAATGACAAGTGTTTGGGACACACGGACGGCACGAGTGTTCGAATTGCATCGATGAGCAGAGGAACAAGTTCAAAACAGACCGCTCTCGAACAATCCGAAGGGTAAACGTTACGCTCTATGTCTGGGATGAAGAATTGGAGCAAACGAAGGGATGTATGCGCTCTGCCTTCAGATTAAAGCGCGACACTTATCGACAATTCCCTGTATATTCGTTAACTTCCATATGACATTGTTGCAATTTCGTCTGCGCATTTTAGGACAGCATTCTTATATCATTGATTCTTAAGAAAACACAAGGGAACATCGATTTCTCGAAACCATGATCATTTAATGTTATCTGTACTCCGCGACACTTATCGAAACTTCTTTGTAACTCGCTCAATCCTACGAATTTCGCTTTCACATCCTAAGCATGTACTCTTATATCATTGATTCTAAAGAAAACACAAGGGAACATCGATTTCTCGAAACCATGACCATTTAACGTCACTCGTACTCCGCGACACTTATCGACGATTTCCTGTACGTCGCTCAATCCTACGAATTTCGCCTTCAGATTTCAGCCCAGTATTCTTCTAATGCTAACTCTCAAGAAAACGCAAGAAAATATCGATTTCTCTGTCGGTTCTTTCTCGAACCACTACCTCGTGGAACCTCTCTGCGCCGTTGATTCTCTTCGAAGGCAATGGTCGACTCCTTCCTCGTCCCCGTTCCATCTCAAGGGAACGCCAACTTAAATTCGCTCGGCGAGCTTTTAATTCCACGGATTGACGCGGAATTTCGAGCCGACGGTAGCCGCGTCCCGCCACCGCTCCTTCGTCTCCGTCGTTTCGTCGCGCTACCGTGGACGAGCCGTTGGCCCTTTCTCTCTTCTCGCGCGACCGCTTCGAGCAAACGGATTGAGCGAAGCAAACGAAGTAAACGGAGCGAACGGACCGAGCGGAGCTTGAAAATCTGTCGTATCGATCGGCACCATTCGCGAGCGCTCCGGAATTACGGGTATCGATCGAACGGGACGAAAACGAGCACCGCGACGATCAGGAAACTCCGCGCGTCCATACCACCACTTTCTATCCTCCTTTCCGCCGTTCCCTGCCCGCGGGCTATCTTCTTTCCTTTCGACCTTTCCGCGGGACGGGTCGAACGACCATCTCATTTCCGTTCTCCGAGAAACGATTTTCGCCGCGCCTACGTTTCCTCCGTCGCTCTCGAGGCGAGTATCCGTCGTTAATCCGGAAAGACCACCGGAAGCGTGCGGCCATGAATCTTTCGGATTTTCCTATACCCCGGGCTGCTTAGTCGCGGGGAAATTCGATTAACCCGTCCAAGGTGTTCGAAGGAAACGTCGCGGATGGACGAGTGGCGAACGAAGACGCCTCGACTCCGTGGAAATCGCTCGGAACGCGACCCCTTCGCGTTCTTACGTAACCGGAATATCGAATTTAGAACGGCTGCCGTTATGTAACGCACGGGCGCAACGTACGCGACACTCCAACGGCGTCTTTCTTCCGTGTTAGGGGAAGCGAACGGGTTGGGAGAATTAGGTTTCGAATGGATTTTGGGAAATGGTGTGTTTGGTTGGGATTAGACTCGGCCGGGGAAACTGTCGCGGTAGAACACAGAGAAGGCGAGCTGTGTTAGTTTCCTGATTTAGTATATCGTTCGAATGTTTATCAAAATCAACATATTTTCCGCATCTTGACGATGCATTTATCGAAACTCTGGCTTAGCAAAGCAGTTCAATCGATATTTATTATTCATAAATTAAAGCTGAAAATGGGCGTGAGCGTATACTCTTGGTACTTATTCCTGATCATTTTTAAAAATGGACGAGTGTAAAGAATCTTTACTAAAGACGACGCCACGACGCTTATCGAAAATACGAATCTTAACGCTTCTCGGAGAGAGGCATGCTCGACGTTTACATCGGAGAAGAGAGTAATAGTAAACGTATGTGATAAACTTTCGGAACCAGTCGTACGTTTTTACTCTTCTACTTTGATAACTCATTATTAGATGGTTATGCAAATATATCCAGATATGCATAATTCATGTGAATACACGAAATGTATTCACTCGAGCATAGAATACACGCGAAACGTTAAAAATATAGGAACTAGTATGCGAAATGCACGCGGATGTGTAGAATACGTGCAAAATTTGCAGATGTCATCGTCATTGTCAACGTGTTCTCCACTGTCATCATCACCAGTATATGTCAGCACGTCATGTGTATCATGCACGTTATATTATATACAGATCGCACATCTACCGATGCGTAATGTTTTCAAGGGAAATTCTACGAGCCACAATACGATGAAAACGATGGTTTTGTAGACAGGAGAAAGAATATTCAAAATTTAAGCGGGAACACGAACAAGTGTCTATGAAGCTCGAGATTATTTGGTATCCACTCGGCAAAAGTTTCCAAATATCAGGATTTTACGACCCGCAAAGGTAGCGTTACCCCTTTAATGAGAAGGAAAACGAGGATATAGCAGTGATACGAAATCAGCACAGGACCTTGCGATGCATACTTAGATCACTCAAAGTTATTTCTGTTTCAACTCCTTCGGTATTCACCCATTCTGCATACAGGCACAACCGCGTGTTTAGGTGTCCACGCAACTTGACACTTCCTATTATCCCCTCCTCAGGAACAAGTTACCAAATATCAGCAATTTTCGATCTCAGGAGTGGCATTACTCCCTTAAGGGTAGAAAAGTTCCACGGTGGTTGAACGCGTAGACACGAGAAGGAAAACGAGGAAACATCAATGATACGAAATTAGCGAAGAATCGTTCGATGCATACTTCGATCACTCAAAGTTATTTGTGTTTCTACCCCTTCGGTATCCACCCACCCTGCACACAGGCACAACTGTGTGTTTAGGTGTCCACGCAACTCGGGACTTCCTATTATTATTCCCGCCTCAGGAAAAAGTTGCCAAATATCAGCGTTTTTCGCTCTCGAAGGGTTGAGGAGTTGAACGGAAGGGCGGTTGGACGCGTGGACACGGGGTGAAAGGGACGGTCGAGGGGTGCCGCGTGAAACGGCATCGGAAGAAGGAGCGAGGGAACCGAGAGGCGAGCGGCGGCTGCCAGATAAGATAAGGGTGAGAAATCGCGGCGCTCTTGGATGCGGTAACATTAGAGCGTCCCCCGACACCGACGCCGCCCCTTTGTCCCCTTTCTCTTCTGCTGCACCGCTTTCACGTTCGTCGAGACAGGCGCGCGTTGCTCTTCGGCTTAACGCTCAAGCCCGAATCTAACTCCTATCGTCCGCCGCCACGGTATCGTTTCGCCGTGTAGACACGCGATACCGGAATATCGGAGTGTGTAGCTCGCGCGCTCCGTTGTCGCCACGGATTCGACCGGTTGAGGAGGCAGGGTCAGGCGACGATGTAACGTCGGATTAACGGGCAACTGTTCGATGCTAAACCATCCGCCCTCGTCGGATCGCGCATAGATCCAGTTCGCGTCTTCGTCGCTTGGCCACACCATCGATCTAACTTGCCGCGTACCGCTACGGTGATATCCTCTTCGCTCTTCGATTCCCTACGTCTGCGTCGAGCACGCTGTTAGCTATTCGAAATGAGCAGAGGAAGTTTCTAAAGGATGTTTCTAGAAACTATTGGTATATTCAAGTCCATGGTGAAGTATCCGAATTCTATCATTAACCCTTTGCACTCGAGATGTTTCTTAGCATTCTATTGCCATGAATTCTAAGCTATGTATCTAGATTCGAGAATAAGGTCACCTTTACCTCGCCGACAATCATTTT